CTAGTGTGCAAAACGTAAGCAACTTTTCTCATTTCGGCCATAATTTGGGGAAAAAAAAAAAAAAAATCAACTAGGAGACACGAAATCTATACTCCAGAAGCACAGTGTAGTACTTAAAGGATGAAAAATGTACGATAGCAAAAAAATGAATAGGACACATATGAAATAGAAGAGTAGAAAAATGACAGAATAAATAGAAAAAAGGGTTTATTGACAGAATGGTGTTAGTACAAAATATTGTTTGATGAAGAGAGACAACAAGAAACTAAAGATCCTTAATAAGAGATATGACCACCTTTAACTGCAATGGTTGTGTTGCACTGTCTATCGATACTCAACAACACCAGATTGTCTAACAGGTCTAGGGGTAAGAGTTCCCATTCATAAAGGATTCAGTTTTAGTTGTCTGGTGTTTTCTGGAAGCTAAGATCGTGCTACCAGGCATCTGCCGAAAATATCCCACAGATGTTCAATGGGATTTAAATCAGGGAAGCATGCTGCTGATATCTTCATTTTTCAGCACTCCTCAACAGCATGAGTCCTGTGTGGCCATGCATTGTCATCCTTAAAAACAAAGTCAGGACCAATGGCACCCCAGAAAAGGCGCATATGGACGAGGATAACTTCATCACAGTATTGATCTCTGGTAAATGTACCTCTGTTGAAAATGTGGCACTCTGTTCCAGTTTGTGCTTTGAAGAGCATTAAGTGCTCCTTGCATCAAAAGGAGAATAAAATAAATAAAAGCTGAATGAAATTAAAGGCTTCATTTAGATGACAATTTTGTCATCATAAAAACTTTGTGCTTTAAGTTTTTATTAAGGCATAAAAGTCATTAAGGCTATTTACATCTGTTTAACATGATTTAAGCTTTATCCAGTCAGAGAAGGAAAAATTGTGCATGTGTAAATACATAGCTGACTCAGCGAAACCATCGACTGATGTTTGGTTCACTGTGATTGGTAGTTCTTATGCCAAATCGGCATAAAATTGAAAAGGTAGAACTTTCATGCAAAATTCTTAAACTAGTTTTTATGATATACCAAGGTCTGGTTGCTCAGGAATGAAGCTCAGCTTAAAACTGTTATGACTTTAAAACCACCATGTGAAGGAAGTTTAAGAAATAAGAAGTAGAATTAAAATTAGAAATTTTGAAACTACATTTTGAACATAGAAGTTTGCAAAATTTAATTTCATGTCTCCTCTAGCAGATAACGCATGGCCGTTTCTGTGAATTCTGTGTTCGAGAAGCTTCTGGCTCATTTTTGATCTTTCAAGATTTTCTAGAATCTGCTCAAAGCTTCTCGAAATTTAGACGTATATAAATACAGGTTGCTAATCGATTTGGAGTTGCTTCACAATGAATGTTCATGGTGATAACACTGTGATTCCTTAGTGATTATTCCATATTCTGGGAGTTTTCCGAGAGTTTGATTTTTTAATGAGGTTTAGTTATGTAATTAATTCTTTGAGTGTCATGACTGCTTTTATCCGGTTATGAGATTTTTTATCACTTGGTATATATTAACTTATAATTTAAGATATTTTTCTATCTTACTTTCTTTAATAATACAAATGACAGTTTAATAAATGTAAGTTTAAGAAAATAGAGACTAAAATAAATAAATAGACAAATTTAACTAATAAAGGTTGTTTAAATACATGTAGGTCTTCATGACAGACCCCATAACCTGCACCAGTCAGAGAGTTAATAAAGTAATAAAATTAAATGATTTATTAATGAAAGTGATAGTAAAAGTTATATATTGTACAAAATCACAACCTCTTAAAAGCAGACTCTGTATACTAATACACTGACTACCAATAAGTATTTGGACACCTGTGATAGAAAAGAAAAACTAACTTTATTCAAAATCAATAGTTGGTAGAGCCTCCACGAGAGGTAATTACAGCGTGGACCCTCCGGGCATACTTTCCACAAGTCTTTGTATGACAGCTAGTGGTATTTTCTTCCACTCGGCTTGGAGAAGACATAGAAGTTCCTTCACCGATTTTGCACGGGTAGTGCACCCCTGAATTCGGCGATGCAACTCGTCCCAGAGGTTCTCGATAGGGTTCAGGTCTGGACTCTGGGCAGGCCAGTCCATTCGATGAACTCCATTGGCACCATACCAAGCCTTGGTTAATGTCGAAACATGACAACTGGCATTGTCGTCCTGAAAGTAACAGGGGTCCAACCCGTAAAACTGCCACAACGTAGGAAGCACATTGTCATCCAAAATAGTGCAGTAGGCATCGGAGTTGAGCTTACCATGAATGGGGACCAAGGGTCCCAGACCATATCAGGAGAAACACCCCCAGATCATAATTTCACCTCCGCCGAACTTGACTGTTGGCACAATGCATTCTGGCAGGAGACGTTCCCCAGGTAGACGCCAGATCCAGACCCTGCCATCTGAACGGTAAAGGGTTAACCTTGATTCGTCACTCCAAAGAACCCATTTCCACTGATCTACGGTCCAATTTCGATGTGCTTTGTACCACATTAACCGAGCAGCGCGGTTGGACATTGTGATCAAAGGCTTATGGGCAGCAGCATGACCATGAAAAACAAGCAGGTGTGCTTCCTTATGGATGGTATTCATTGAAACAATATTCCCGGATGCCTGTTGAAACTCCTCACGGATGAGGGCCATTGGTAGGGTGCACTTCTTCCGAATTTCCCTGGACAGCACTCGTCGGTCTCTATCTCCCAGTTTTGTTGGTCTCGACTCGGGGCACATTCCGACAATCACCGCTCACCTTCCACTTCTTAATCACATAGGCCACTATCGACTTTGGGTACTTCAGATCGCTAGATATGTCCCTTAAGGATCGGCCACATTTGTGATAACCGATAATTATACCTTTCTCGAAATCAGAGAGTTCCGAACTGCGAGGCATCTTGCATGCGACTAAAGCTGATGCTTTCTCCTACACGATATATACTGTCGGAGTTCATGACGTACCTTAGGACCACAGATATCGTCATTTGCATAGGTTTCCAAATACTTATTGGTAGTCAGTGCATAGAAGAATATGGGAAACCATCATGAGTCCCTTCTGCTGCATACTGAGTGATATAGTTGATTTTAGGAAAAGCATTGAAATATTTGATGAAGCAGTGTGCATAGATAATAGCAGTTTTAATGAACGATAACACTGTATTCTCAGTGGTTTCAAATGACAAAGAGTGGCTGTATAAAATGCTATATTGGATGAAATTTTTAGCAAAATGAATTTATCAATATCAGAGAGAAGTGCCACAATTTTTTATGCAAATGCCAAAGTGCCTTTTTAAAAAAGGAAACCAAATGTATTGATTGGGATGTAGAAAGGGAAGCCCTCTTACAGAAACCTTACAAGAAGAAAATAATATTAAGATTCAAGAAAAAATGCTGAAATATATTAGAATATAAAGCTAAAAAAGAAAGATGTGGGTATTGAATGTGCTCAGTGTGAATAAAAAGCTCATTGACCTGATATATCATTGTGAATTAAGTCTCATTTCAAAAACAGTCTACCAGAGTTTTGACAAATTCATTCTATATTTTTTATGTTATGTTTTAATTTGGACCTATAGTATGCTGTAGTTGAACAATAGTAAAATTAAATTTTAATCATCTTCTATAAAGAGTAATACAAATTTCAAATAATGAATGAATATGTGTTTGAAGATTAACTTGAATAAAATTAATTGTAATGATCTTAATGATTCTCTTAGCAGTAATATAAAATTTCTGTTATAACACAAATTGGTTTGATTTATTGAACTTAGGAGATCCTTTAAGTATGGCTAATTTTTGACAGTATCATATTGAGATATTATGACAAATCATAAAATTTTAAATTCAATTTCATTCCATGTACATTGCACAGCTGTTCAAGATGTTTCCTTACTGTACATTCCCTCACTATGTATACTTTTTCTGTACCTCTGCAATACTATTCTTTTAAACATTATCAACTTGTAAGATATAGGATATGCCTAAGGGGTTCCGCTAGAGCAGTTATTTCTAATAAGGGGTACATACGTTCGGGAATCACTGTTCTGAAGCTACAAACACATTATCAAAATGTTTTGCTGTTCCAGTTAATGAATGAAACCACCACTTTTTAAAACCATTTGAATGGGATGTGATAGTTGAAACTTGTAATTTCAGTCAAGAAGACATTTGTACAAATGAATATTAATCTACTGTAAGTTTTTTAAGGTGGTAATATTATCAAAAAACCAATATAAAATATTATATACCACAAATAAGTATGAGCCTTAAGTGGTAATTTAAACTGATTGATGTAACTCATTTTATTATATATTTTGTGTTCTTTAACATGAAAAAATCATTATGTGCCAAAGACATAGTTTAAAGCTATATTATTTTAATAAAATATAAAGTAGATGAATAGTCTGTTTTATTAATTTTTTTAAAGAAATGTAAACAATAATAATTTATACTAGTTTTCTGCTAAGAGGGTATTTTATTCTTGAGAAGAAAAATAATGAAATGAAAGTATTTTAGAAAATATCAAGTACTTTACGTGCTAATGACATTTTAAATCAAACTTTTTTAGAAAAGTGAAGACAAAAAATAACTTTATGTGAATGAATAAAAAAAAAAAAAATAATGAAAAACATTTCTGCAGGTGTGTTTCTTTTTTTATCCCGTTCTCACCAAATTATAGCAACAGATTAAAATCTGCACTGCAACAGTGATCCTTGAGTAAATCATAATTTATTTCAATAATTATACTAAGACTGGAAGCTTTTACTATGCTAACCAAAAATATTGATGATAATATAATGTCGTTTAATTTAAACTTTCTTTTTTGCTTGCTTGTTCTAAACTTGCAGAGAATATCTATGTTTTTCATTTTATATTTTGGATTGGGATATCAACATTTTTAAATTATATTTGGAACAAGGAAACATTTTAACTTTTTCATAATGATAAACATTCAAAATTGATTAATATTGAAATTATTTGATATTTTTACAGAAATATTTTGCCTAATGAACCACCATTGGAAGATGATTATCAGGAAGTTCCTCGACAAATGGAAGAATTGATACAGCTGAAAGAAAAAGCAAAATCAAACAAATTTAAAAGAAAGAAAAAGAAGAAAGTATTGAAAGATGAATTTATAATAGGTAAATGTATTTCATCTGATAGATATCTTAGAAAACATTTTGGTTACATTCTTTTTTTGATTACATACCTATTAATTATTAAATTGCATAATACAGCAGCCTTCGACTTTCACACATAATTGGGTTCCTAAAAATATGTGCGAATGTTAAACATTAAGTGTATTTTAAAATACTTATTTATATAATATTTATTTATCAATATATATAATTAAATTAATGAGGTGTGTCAAAACATCTTTCAGTGCTTTTTATAATCTTGTTTAGAGTTAATTAAATACCACTCCCCCCTTTTTTAACAAAGAGTTCTATAACATGCTGTGTCTTTTTCAACTTATTCATATATAACTTATTAAAATTCCCCATGATGCATAAAAGCTTCGTTCACATGTTCGATTGTCAAAGTCTTTACAGTTTTATCAGCTTCTTTTTTAATACTTTCATAGAGTACTTCATTTAACTCTTGTTGATCTATTAAATATTCATTTGACAGAGGTATTGAGTGACTTTCAATCAGCTCATTAACATCTTCATGAAAGTAGATACAAATAACATCTATTGATGTCCAAATTAAGTTCATTCATTAGGCTATTTCATTTATAATAGTTTCCAGAGTTTCTTTAGAATTTATAAAATCGGTCATCATTCATAGTCATAATTATTTCCAGGACACTTTTATTGTTGACTTTTATTTCAGTCCACAAGTCCTCAATATTGTTCATTGCATTCCATATATATAGTTCACTCAGAAATCTCTTAACTTTTTCGCGACGGCGCGCCTTTGTTTAAGACGCTCGTGTGGGACGGAAGAGAATCGAAGGCAGTCACCTTACAGGACGGAGGTTTTGCATTGCTAAGCCTAATTTTATAACAAAAATCAGAAAAACAAAAGTTTCGCTTCTAGCATCGTAACTTTTGGTATCATTTTAGATTATTACTTGAGCTCTTATATGTTAAAATTAGCCTTAAAAAAAACATTTTTTCCTTTATTTTACATGAAAATATACTTAAAAAATTGCTTATCTTCTAAAATAATTTTCGGAAGCGCTATTCAAATTATTCCAAAGTTTTAATTGATAAAATCAATCAATAAAGTTTAAAATTAATAAAAAGAACACAATAAAGACTATTTACAGTAAGAAGTAACAAAATTTAAAATGAAAACGAGTGTGGTAAATCTCGAAGCACAGAGAAGTATCACTTGTAACTCTTAGAAAAAGTATCACTTTTTAACTCTTTAGAAAATGAATCAGTACTCTCATTTGCGTTAGTAAATGCTTCACTAACCATACTAGGGTATTCTTCCTCTGATAAATAGCGCCTTCCCGCCATAATAGACTAGAGGTGAGGCTTTTCTAAATAAAAAAAAAAGGAACGGAAATATATCTGAAGGCAATGCAAAATGTAAAAAAACTCCGCACAGTAACCCTAAAAAACCGTACATAGTAGAGGGGAAAAATAGAATAAAAAAAGGAATTGGATATAAATCAGATATGAGAATGTTTTCATTAGCACGCAGCGATTTAAAGAGCCCACCTCTGTTTACGCTTTCCCTCTGCCCCCCCCCCCCCCATCCTCGAACAGCTGATCAAAGTCAAGTAGAATATATCAAACTCAAGGTCAGGAACCTAAAACTGTGTTCATTTCAAAAGAAATGGAAAACGTTCCCCCTTAAAATGCATATACGCATCACCTGTCCTCTGAATGCGATCCTTACCGATGCGTGGATGGGACGCCCGGCTGTAAGACACGTTCTTAGGGAATGCGTATATGGGACGCCCGTCCTGAAAGGGTTAATGTAGTAATGTAGACCCACCTTTCTGTGCCATTTCCCTTGTTGGTTTGATTCATTATTGTCCTCATGTAATATCATTTAAATGTAGCTTAGCAATATTTGATCCATGGGCTCTATAAGGTAAGTAGTATTGGGAGAAAGAAACATAGTACTGATTTCCAGATATAAATTTTGTTGAGATTTTGGATGCCCCAGAGTATTATTTAAGATTGATAATTCTTTAAATTGTAAATTTTTACAATAGTGCTTAACAATATTGGTACAAAATGAAAAGTGAACCAGTCTTTAAATATTAACACCCATACATTTTTATATGATTTTCAAATGACCGGAGGCAATTTTTTATCTTTCCTTTTCAATATTCAAGTTTTTTCTACTTGATAAACTAACATTGGCATCAGTTTTAAACAAACAGCTAGTTTTGTTTCACTGTTTATCATCAATCCATGATAATATAGATCTTTTTATTTCATCTATCGCTATCCCATGTCTTTTGGAATCAGTTTTTAAAGATTTCTTCCACAATTTTGAACATATTCCTTAATGTTATTTTTGTTTTTCAAAATTAAAAATATCACAGGCCTGTTTATATCATACAAAAGGCTGACTGATTCAAAAGATTCAGATGCTTTCAGAACATATGATTACTTGCCCTTCTGTTTCCATCATATGAAGTTTATTTCATATTGACACTGCAGTTTTTCTGTATCTCACTCATGTTTATAAATTTATTAGGGCAATATATTTAAACATAAACAAACTGGCAAAACACACAATGTATTGACATGTGCCATAACACAAGACTAAACCTGTTTAATACATTGTATACATTCGGTCCTGCCACCACCACTTGGAACCCATAGACCTTGTCCAAGCCTGGATTCTAATGATGTTACAACCATTCTGAGAAGTCCACTACTCTAGGATGCAGTGTGTGAATGAGCATGAGCTCTTTGGGAGCAACTGCATGGAAGCAAACAATTTTTGCAATTAAAAAAAAAAAATTAAGTTTAAAAATGTGTAAAATAGCAAACTGTATGAAAGCAGAATGTGCAAAAGTTGAGGGCTGTCTGTAAATACAGTGGTCAATAACTAGAATGGCATTTTTGTTTTGCATTTTAACTTGAATTTAAAAGATTACAGCTTGATAAAATATACATATTATACCCAGTGAATTATATCTCTTAAAATGAAAGTTTTTCAAACAAATAATGTAAAACAATGTTTTAATTTGCTGTTAAATTTGAACAAAGAAAAACCTGAGAACATAAAAAAGAGCAAGATTTGATATGTGTTTAACTATCTTATACTGAAATTTGTGAAATTATTTTTCTAAAAATATTTATTTAGTTTTTGTTTAAAATCTATGGATGCATTAGTATTTAGATTCTTTTTTGAAATATATTAGCAAAGGAAAAAGTGTTCATATCTAAATTTTTGTTGTTTAATATTATTTAAAGTAGTATGAAGAGCTAATCTAGGTAAATGCTATGAAAAGTTCACTTTTAAACTGTAAATACAATTCTGTTCAGACTACTTCATATTTACTTAGTCAAAAACTTTTGTCCAAATAATAGTTTTTATTGAAATATTTAAGCTTTGTTTAATTTCCATAAATGTAAAAAGAATCAGTTTTCGAGCAAATTTTTTGGTAATTTTTTTTTTACACATACTAAACATATGTTTTCTCTCTATATGTACACACATAATTATACTTGTATATGCACACTATGTAATATGTGGTTGCAAACAAAATTTGTACTATATCACACCTTGTGCTATAAGCATAGACTAGTAAAAAAATAAACTTGCATTTACCCTATCATGTGTGGGTTTATAACAGTTATTAACAGCATGGCTAGTACTATTCAAAATCTGTTCAGGATTGGTTAGTAATCCCTTCTTATAAGTAGTGGCATGTAATGATAGTTCAAATGTATCTAACTAAAGTATCTATCTAATAAAGTGACTGTTTTGTAAGCAAATAAATTCCTTGTTATCCAGGATAAATAGCTTGGTTCTTTTACAGTAGTGATTATCACTTGGCAATGCAAATGAAAAGCATTAACAGGATAGGCATAGCAGCAACTCTTTAGTAACTCAGCAGTCAGCCAACAAGTACCTCAGTATCTTAGTTAGTGAGTACAAGAGCATTAATTACCTTTAAGGTGCACACAGTACATGCTTCCACTGTGCTGAGCTGGCAATGATACTTATTTAAATTTATCCTCCTTCCACTCCCCTCCCCGAGGATGAAGAAGTTCGTCAGAAATTAAGATACCTTTGCAAACTTCTGAAGTTCTAAGTAATAAAGCAGTTGCTCTGATCTCCTTAATGTTCCAGTCATCAAAGTTACCATCTCTTCTGATGTGAATTTCTGCAATCTTCCTGAGTCTCCACATATGGTGAGGAAACATGTCATCTTGTATAAACTGACATCTCCAGTCTTAATCCATGTTCCATGTTAAGTCTTAATCCATGTTCCATAATGAGCACATTTTAATTGATATAGATATTTTATATGCCATCTCTATCAAAAATTATTCAGCCAACTTTAAGAATATAAATTCCTCTTCAGGATGATATTTCTGCTTCAGCTAACTTCTTCAGTAGATCTAGTTAGCCCAGGTAAGAAAGATATCAGTTAAAAATGAAATCTTGTCTAACTTTTAAAGGATCATTATACACATAAGTTATTGGCCAAGAATTAATGATAGCTTCAAATTCCACTGTTACAGTTTGTAGTTCTTCATATGACAACAAATCCTTTCCGAGAATTTGTTTCAAATAAATTTCTATTAGCTTTACCATAATCACCCAAAATCCTCTCCATACAGCAGCTTTTCCTACCATATATTTAAATTTGATGTCCTTTTTTCTGTAATAATCCATAACCCAATCATCTGTAATTGGATTCCATAATCTTTGGAGTATTCTGCTCTTTTAAAAGCCTTTGCATAGCCACTGACGTGGACTCACATAGGCTGCATTTTGCAATGAAATGTTGAAAAGCAAAAGACACACCAAGTTGTTAAGCCTGAAATTGTTGTTAACAACACCAAGTTGTTAAGCCACATTTGTTAAGCCTGAAACCATTTTAAATGAATGATGCAAATGAAAATGGTGCTTATGAAGAAACAGTAGCATGTGATTTTTCACTTTTACCTTTCACGTAAAGTGATCTTGTAACCTCAAATGCATACGATTCCTAAATTTTGCCAAGAGACTGTGAAGCTGTTACCTGATTTCCTTGGTGTGTCTTGAATCCTTTGCATTTATAATAATTGTTCAAAACTTTTTAATGTTTTGCGACCTCCTGTTATCCAATAGCAGCTTGTAATTTATATGAGTGTATCCAGTAGCGTAACTAGAACTTTTGCCACCTGGGGGCACCTGAATTTACTACCCCTCTTCAGGGCCCGAATTAGCCTAATTGGGGCCTGGGACAAAAACTTCTTTGGGGGCCCCCTCTGCTTCACTACTTCAGTAATGAAAAGCTGAACTTTATGGAAGTATTTAAATTGTTCGCCTCTTTTTAGATATATAACAAGAAAATTGACTAGAACCTAAAATCCCCCCCCCTCCAATGGTCAGATGAAATATCGTTCTGTCCATTTTATTGATTTTCTGACAATTCTATGTCCATCATTAAAAGGATACAGCACTTCTGAAGAGCCAAAATTTGACAAAAATGCTATATTAATTTATAATTAGACAATGTAAAGTCTTTTTAGCAATTTGAATTAATTAACAAAAAATACCATAGACAACTCTTATGCACTTAGAATAGGCTAAAAAGCTTTTCTTGATGCATGCCATATCATCTTCATAATGTCAGAGCATCTGGCGCCCCCTCTGATGTGAGGACCCGGGACAAATGCCCCGCATGCCCCTGCCTTAGTCAGGCTCTGCCCCTCTTCCTGTAACAACAAATAATTTAAAAAGTCAAAATGACATACAGAGCAATAAATTAAAACTCCTATGTTTATTTTTGAAGGAAAATATTAGTACTGTTTCTTCATTCAGAAATTCGACCATGAAGGTGTACATTATCTACTTGCAAAATCAAGGTATTTCCAGTTGCAGCAGCATATGGATGAAGATTAGGATCCAATATGTTGGTCTCTGCATCTCTGAGCATTGAGATATCCATGTAGCAACACGTACAGACTTGGGTGCCCAGAAGGTATTCTTTTTCCATATGTTAGATGGATGATACCAAGTGTTTCTTTTCTCTATATCTAAACGTAGAATCACTTTGTAAAGCAAAGGATTCATCAGAACAGACATCCTCTGAATTTCATTTTAATTTACAAGACTACATGCTGAATTCGATGCTCCCTTTGGTGATGGAAGATAAGCAGAATGCACTGTTCCACCTGCCTAGTATACAGACCTCTCATGCAAACTGTCATGGCTGGTACTGTCTTTCCTGTTGCAGAAATAATAGTGTATCTAAGCTGGGATGGTGTTGCAGTAATGTTGTGACATGCATCTAAGTTGCAAATACTTATCATCCGCAGAAAGGGACTTTTTCTGGTAGGTCTTTAAGAGGCTGAACAGTTGTTAGAAATTTGTTTTGCAACCGACTTACCATGGAATGATCGGCATATAACCATCTTGCTATGTCAAACTGTCATTGATCTATTTCTAATCGGCCTGTGGCTCTATAATGCAATTCTGCTGGCAAATGTTGCCTCAAACTCATTTTTATGCTTTGGCTACCTTGAAATTGTTTTCATTCATTGAATAGCTATTTATTCCTAAATTGTGTTGTATTTACATGCAATGCCACTTTTTTGTTTAATGCTACTCAGTAAAGCTTACTTTAATTTACAACATATCAAAATTTTAAGAATTTTAAACCACTTTTAGCCGATTTATCGCATTTTGTAAATTTGTTGCTTTAACTTTTGGAAATCATGGTATTTAAAGTGTGTGGAATTTATTTAACTTCTTAAATAAAATTTTTTCTGTCAGTATTTGCATATCGTAATATTTAAACTTTCAAATATATTATTTCAGTGAAAAAAGATGTTATTGAAGACAATGAGCCAGGAATGACAATGGGAATAAAAAAAATGCCTAATGTTATAAAACAAAGAGCTTCTGAAAATGAAAATCAGTTTTTTAATAGGCTACAAAAAATGACTAATCAAGCAATTGCTGAAGCCAAGGTAGAAGAGAAATATAACATAAAGTTAGTTAATATTGATGAAAAAGGAAATGCAGAGTATGTTTCAGGAGAAAAAGAAGTGAGTGAATCAAAAAAACGGTATGTATTTATGAACAGTAATTATTATAAATAGACAAATAACATTTTCTAAACAGTAGAAAGAATGTGTAATTCTATCATACTTAAAATTTCTGAATATTGCATGATTTTTTTTAATCAATTTTTTCTTTCTTTCCTTTTCTTTTCCTCTTGTAGGAAACGTGAGAAATACAAGGAAATAGTTAAAGAAAAGAAAAAAATGAGGGCTAAAGATGAAGAATTTGATCTTAAAAAAGGTTTTGCTTTTTGTATTACATATTTAATTTTTATTTAATACAAAAATTATGCTTAAAAATAACAAAACAAAAATAATATTTATTTATTTTTATTTAGAGTGTATACAGTTTGGAGAAGTTGCAACAGCTCCTCCATTACTGACTGCAAAACCCAGAAAAGCACCTGAAGGGGTTAAGGTATGCTAACATCTATATTTTAAAACTTAATTTCTAAGAAATTATTTAAAGCAAGATGCTGTGAAATTTCAATGACACATAAGTGTAACATAATAAAAAAAATTTTCCCACAGGAGTACAGCAGCATTGTAAAATCATGCATTTTACTGATGCTTAAACTATTAAAATTATTTTATTAACTCTAAAATTAGAGTTGTTTATACCGGAACTTCAAGAATTTTAAAATTAGCATTGTGCTTGAGTAACTAAAGACTACAAGAACACGGGTGTGATTCTTATGGTTCAGTGGACTGCCTGCACGAGGGTTTTCGTAATTTGCCCCTATTGCAATGCAAACACAAGCCAGTTTTTCTAAGAAAATCCATTATAAAATCATACATCCTCTTAGAGAGAGAGAGAGAGAGCCTTTGGTTGCTTTGTTTTAATTAGCTCACTAAGAAGTTGTATCCCCCTCATCTGGCATATTTTCAAATTATTTTATATTAATTCTACAGTTATTTTATATAAGTGCAGGATTCTATATTAAAAGGTTTTTGTTAAGAAAATTTAAATTTGACTCCAACATAAATTTACTAAAAAAATTATGCCTAGTATGAAATGATAACTATTAATCAAAGAATTATAATTCAGTTGCCACTCTGTCTGAAGTGCAAGGAAATTTTGCATACCAGTATCATAAATTATATGTTGCTTCTTAATTAAATAATAATATATGTTGTAATTTGTTAGAAAATAATTTGTATTGAATTGCTGCATTACTGTATATGTGTACATTAAAAAAAAAAAAAAAAAAAAAATGCTGTATGAAAACAAAAGAATAGTTATTTAATTAAATTACTATTTGTATTAGACAGATGATGTAAAATAAATTAATTAATTAAGAAAAAGATAAAATATACGGAATCAAAATCAATCAGATGTGACAAATTATCTAACAGAAAGGGATTAATTAAAAACAATTGAAGCAATTCATTCAGGTATTATTCAGAAAAGTGTATCTGTAGATAATTATTTTGGACACTTTTTGATGAAGAGCAAAGAATTATCAACTAGTGTTTATTAATTATTATATAATATTTAATGATTTTTATTAGCCCAAAAGGGACTGTTAGACTGAAAATGGGATTTTTCATCGGTTGACTTTAAACGGTGTTATCAAATTTTTCCACCAATTATCACTCCCTGTTACTTTTAAAGAAATGAAATAATGAAGAATCTGCATTCATATATATGCATGCATGTTCCTGCCGTTGTGAAAAAACGATGGTACTGAGAGCCATCCAGTTTTGAATAATGTAGTCTTGCACAAAAACATGTGCACCTGGAAGCCAGAGTTTTGAATTTCTAATTTGTTTTATTATTTATTTCAGATTTTGTAAAACTTTAATGAATTGTTGATTGACAAACTCATTGATTTGAAAATGAGCAATATATATATATATATATATAATTTTAATTAGGAAACTTTACAAAAGCAATGTGTTATCGCAACAGAAGTAAAATAATTTTATCTGCCATGTGCCATTCATTACATATCTGCCTGCTTGTTGCCATTCAGTAAAGCAGATGCTTTCAAATTTAATATGAAAGGATATTGAGTAATAAACCGAGCGATTTAAAAGTAATAAACACAGTTCTTAAGAATATTTTTCCTACTTTTTAATATGATTTATTTAAATAAACATGTATTAAACTCACAGGAATGAAATTACACTGGCTTCACTCATTTAAAATCATTATATACTTTTTTTTATGATAACTATTATAGGTAGCTGGCCACACGAGCAGTTAGTTTTTAAAGAAATAATATATATGGCAAATAAAAAAATCTTTTAAAATTTTTTAAAAAATAAATCATCTGAAATACTATCATTTATTCACACAAAAAGCTTAAATTCCAATTTTTTTTAATTGATTAAACTGATTAAATTTATTTAGTTGGTAGAGTAAGTGGCATAAGAATCTTAGTGCAAATGATAAATGTATGGAAAACTTAAATGTGTATGTATTGTTTATAATCTTTTTCTTTTTTGTATAGCCTGGTAAAAGAAAGTTAGCATTAGACCAGCTTCTGAAACATGATGAACCTGCTGAGCCAAAATCTGTAACAATTAAATGGAAAAATATGTCACCTGTACGACGTAAAGTTATAGAAAATGAGAGACTTAGAGCTATTCAGATGTATCGTTTGTTAAAAAATAAAAAAAGTGGTGCTTAGCATTTGCATGCTAGTAAAGATATTTTATTTTATAAACCATCTTCAGATTTATAATACATGATAGTACTTTTTTATGCAAAGCTAGGCCGAGGCAACTGTATACCCTCTTTAGCCTCAAAGAAGGTATATGATAATATTATATCATCTACAGTTTCCAAACGGGGATCCTCTGCGTAATTTGGGTCCAGGTAAAAAAATACAGGCATATCAACCTAGCAAATTAGCAAAAATTAATGAAATAGCAGTACAAAATTATAACAAAAATTAACTTCTAATAATTATATTATATAACATGTAATAATTGAATATGACAAAGCTAAAATTATCAGCAAACATCAGCACAAAAGCAGCCTATAAATTAGAGAAGCTGTAGAAATTGCCACGAGGCCATTTCATAATAGACATTTTTTTTAACATGTTTGCTGCCAACTACAAGTTATCTCATAGGTCAAAGTTTATGTTTAGGCACCAGCTATGGGCTAATTTGTGGAATGTACCTACACACACAGCAAAAAACACAACAATTTGGTGCAATCCAAGAAATTTATTATAATTAATATAAGTATTTATAAAGTAAATAAATAACATAGGAACTGTAAAAATAATCAAGCAATTTATAATAATTTTTGTTATAAAAATAATCTTTGCTATAAGCAACCACCAACTACGAATATACTCATTATGAGTATGCTCGCAGTTAGCGGTGTCATAAAACATTTTATCAGAAAAACCGACTACGATATAACTCGTATGTTAATAAAGCAATTAAAAATTATCTAAATTCAATATCTTTCCCATAAATACATGCTTTGTATTTTTATTTTAAAATTAATTAAAATTTTTTGGCATGCTGGAACCGTTTTTGAAAATGTCACTTGGCAGCGAGCATGTTAATCTCCTATGCATATGGATGCCAGTCTTAAAAATATAGAAACCAAACAGCAGTAAAAGGAGGTGAACTTGAACAAATCATTCAACTGGATTCCAACTGATAAAGCAGATAAGCCATAAACTCCAACCGATAAAGCAGATAAGCCATAAACTCCGACCGATAAAGCAGATGAGCCATAAACTCCAACCGATAAAGCAGATAAGCCATATACTCCAACCGATAAAGCAGATAAGCCATAAATGCAGACTTTAATTTTGTTTTAATTTTATTTTGACTGCATGTCCTTTTAATTCATCAATATAGAAATATATATATTTTATTAAAATGAAAAATAGAAAAAAATCAGGGATTTCAAAAATGTATATATCAACTGCTGAAGACAAACATTTATCAGACTGTGTGTTGATTGAAGTGTTAACTGACAATTATTGTCTAATTGTCAGTTAACATTTGTATAGAAAACAAATTCAATCTGATTTAAATAAACCTTAGTAATTTTTCGAAGAAAACTGATCTTTCCAGTACAAAATAACAATCCAAGATTTAAAAAGACCATAACGTAATTGCAAGAAAAAATATTTGTGCACATATGAAGTTTCAAATAAATATTTAATTACATGTATATTGTTGGAAGGTAATGTAAAAAATAAAAGCCATGAAAAAATTGTTGAAAATTATAAGAATGAAATTTAAATTCATAATAAATGCAGATAATCAATATTGCATAAGAAATATATAAATAAAACTCCAGAAAACTTAAGCATTCTGTTATATTGATACATACCTAAATTGTTGATACAATGAAATCTCGATTCTTACATATTATCACGTTGACTGTGTAACTAACACCAAACAGCATGATTTAGCATCAATTGTGGAATAAATGTAAAATAACAACATACGCATAACATGTGCTTTTATTTGTTGCAATCCACAATGATTCTTGATAAGCCGCATTTTATTTTTATGAAGATGAGTATAAATTAACTCTTATTGCTGTATTTTTTCTTTCATTTTGAAAAAGTTAAAATTTGGGACCTGCCCATAGATCAGATAGCAGTAGATTATTTTATAGTTTTAAGATCCTTCCGTAAAAAAAAGTATTAATCAACACAATATGGTCAGTTGCATAAGAAACAAAATTAAGCAGATTGAATATTGATTATTTATGAAATAGAGAAGCATGAATTTCTTCAAAATTTCTCAGAAAGGATTGGTGCAATTTTGATGGGATTTTCACCAACTTTCGCAGTTGACAGTACAACACGTTAGAACTGAAATTTCTCTAAGACAACTACTTACAGTCCAGACAGTTTCAGTTTTCTTTCAAAATGGTCACTTTAAAGACGTAATTTCCTCAACTAATATAATTATTCTAATTTGTCTATGTAATTTAGGGAGACAAGATTTTATTCACTCTATTCTGCTAGCTGAGTTTCTTCTTTTTTGGTGTGGCACTGGTATACTTTCAACAATGTTTTCTCTCAGTTATTTTGAGCGTGAACAGTTTCATCTATGAAGGTTGTGTTGATATTAATTCTTTATTATTAACTTAGCTCAGTGCTGTGTGGACTGAAATTTTCCATTTTCGTATTCATAATTTGATACCTACACTAATAACACTTTTAAAAAATTAAAATTATATTCTGATCTACATTGTTCCATCTTTCATGTATTTGATCTACCAAAGAAATTTTCTCGATTCATTTTCTGTTGAATAAACAAGAACTATCAGAATAGTTATATAATGATAATACAGAAGTTTTAAATAATTTCATAATTAAAAATTGGAAAAGCAACAACCTTGTGCTTGGTGTAAGATTTAGTCAAGAACCAATTTATTTTGAGGGCAAACAGGTAGAGGTCCCTCTTCATCAGGAGTAAAGAAATATGCAAGACTGGTAAGCAATGATACTTTGCAATACTGGCATTCAACAGATAATAGTAGGTATTGCTCTTACCAGTTTCCCATAGAATCTCAATTAAGGCCTGGTCTATAAAACATCCACAAAGAGATTTTCTCCATGTGAGGTAGAAATTATAGGGAGAAAGAAACGAAGCACATTGTGTCATAAGTGAAAACCGGTGAAGTCTTAAAAGATGATGAGCTGGCCATGTGGGGATAGATGACAAATCAAGAGATGTGGAGGGAGCTTTGCTAACTACTTCATGTAACAGGAACATAATATACAGATACAGCAATAATAGAAATAAATGCCCATATTTACATTAAGATACAGTTGAAAACTGTTCCTGTGAGAACAAAATCAAACTGTTTTAAACTTGCAAGCTGCCTGAAATCAGGTCTCTAAATGGCTTGCAGGTGCAAAGCCCATTCAATATCGCAAAACAGTTTAAAAGTGCAAAAAATAGCAAAAATATATACAAACTATATACAGTGACTACCCAGAGTGATTGTGAAATTATAGTCAATGTCAAGGGAGTGAGAGAGAATGCAAAGAATAAAGCACATGAGTTTTTGCCTGTGAAATGTTGAATATATCTCATGATCTCACTGGCTGGTAAGGTCATGCTGATTGAGTTGCAGCAAGTGGGTGAAAACGACTATCTTTCTCAAGGATTTCATATTCTAAATGTCAAAAAAGTTGGCAGGGTCGTTTTTAAGCACTCTGTTGAAGAAATTTTATTGATCCAAGTGGTAAAAGTCCTTCATTGATTTTAATTTGAGGTCTGCATGAAGGTTTCTATTTTTGAAATCAATGGCCACAACAATTGTGTTTATACCCTACAGCAGTAAAATGAACTAGAAGGTAGTGCCAACTATCAGCAGAAATAGTAAAAAATTAAGGTAACAGAATTATAAAAGCATTAGAAAGGACTGGATTGGAATTAAAGTAACAAGATAAATCTTTGTGGATGTGAAAAGCATCAAGAAAATGTAATTCACCAATGGAAGAAGCTTTATAAATAATTTTTGCAGGTCCAAAGTCAAAATTATGATTAAATTTCCAACTACGATTAGCTAGTGAAGACTTGTTGATTTCATCTTTTCATACACAAGATTCATGTTCCTCAATACGAAACTTTAACACTCTCTTAATTTGGCCAATATATCTTAGACCACACTAAGACAAATGCTATAAATTCTCAAGAATTAAAGTCAGAAGTGAAATCTTTAAGAAATGAACTGTGGATTTTATTGATAGATGAGAAAATGACTTGAAAATTTAACTTCTGTAAAATCTCTGCAATTTTATAACTAAGAGAAGGATGAAATGGAAGCATGGCAAGGTTGTTAAAACAGTAAAATGTCTTCTTTGATGGCAAGCTGAAATTTTTTTAAGGCTTTGTTAATGATCATGTGAGAAAATTCTCAGTCAATGATAATCAACCTCAGCTAACTGAGTTCATTAGCAAGCAAAGGTTCTGAAGAACAAACTTTGAGAGCACGTAACATGTAATAGTAAAAACAAGCCATTTTTTTGCTTAGCTGGGTGACATAGAAACAAACAGAAAAGTGTTTAACAGTAAACAGTAGTGATGAAATCAGGTTCAGTGCAAATTATAAGAATATCACAGAAGAGAAGGGTATTGTCAGATTCAGTTTTAAAAGTAAACTGGATGGCTGGATCAATTGAATTATATAATGATAATACCAGTCCTTCCTAAAGCTTTTATAATTTTATTAATTTAATTTTTCAGCTTTCATTATTATTTCTGCTGACAGATGGCACTACCTTCTTATTCAATTTACTCTTGAAGAGTATAAACATGACCGTTGCTTTCCAAATTTGCAGATTTCTTTGCTTCTAACGAAGAGGGACCATAATATACCTGTTTGCACTTGAAATTGACTGAGTTCTTGATTATATCTGCATTGCTAATTTTTCATAACTTTGGCATGTTTCTCTTCTGTTCAAATTTCATAATTACATGATCCAAAGAGAATGATTTACTAGCATTACAAATAAAGCATTAAATGCTACTTTGTGATACCTTTAGGTGGAAGGTGGCATTGTCTAGAATTAATAGCACTTTATTTTCCTCCTCCTCTTTTTTTTTTTTTTTTCCTTTTAAATTTGTCACTAGTTTGTCAAAAGAGCATCTATCACTAAGGATTTATACTTTCCCTTGCCCAGAATGGAATGTATGGAAAACCTTAAATCTACATGCCATCTAAACACTATGTTGCGTTTCAAACAGGATCTTCATAGACTCTTTGTTAAGTCGAAAATTTCTCATTGATTAAAAGCCTTCCTTATATATAGGGATTAAACCACAATTAAACATACTGAGGACAAATCGATGATAGAAAAGTAACATCCTTTAGCACACTGAAGCTTCATATATCAATAAAAAGTTGTAATTTTATACGAAAGATTTTTGATGGAGGAAGAAATTGTTATGAGCCCTAGTTAAAAGAATACTGAATGCTTACCTCTTCATGAGGGTTCAGCTGCTGCTCTTCAAAACAGAAGCACTAAAAATATATAAATAAATCTTTTTAAATCGAATGGAAATTTTGAAAACACACAAATGGGGTTTGTTAATAGGTAATAGAAAAAAAATTATGGAGATGCAAAAGTCAATAAACATTTTTAAAATGTTTTAATATAGAAATGCATGATATTATGGGATTTTTTTTCAAAGAACACTTATTACATTTTTCACTGCTTTTAAACTATCACTATCAGAAATCATCATTATACTTGTCTCCTATGAAACATTATCCCTAATCTTGAAGAACTATTATTAGCTTTTGTGACATTCATGCAATATGAAGCATTGCTGCATGTTGTTTTCTTTCTAATCTTAACATCTCAGCTTTACCATTATTTAAATAATCCAATCCTATGATTTTCCTGTGATTTATGATCAAAATCTTTTTAAAACTACATTCGAAAGAAATGATCTAATTCAGATAAATTACAAAACATGAGATTTGATGAAAAACCTGGAATCTTATGGTTTTACCAGGAGGACTAACAACTTTGACATTTTTTTTTTTATTAGCAACTGATTGATTTTAACATACAAATTTTTCAACATAAAATTTGTGAAGGTTTTATAATAAAATATTTTTTCCTGAATTTTACTGTAGTAGGGCTTAAAATAGTGTATAAAATTACCTTCAGGATATATGCAGAAAAAACAAATATTGTACAATTTTCCCTAAGTATTTCAAACACGGGATAATACTCAACTTTTTATATATTTAATTTTTTTTTGTAGCATTGCTATATTTTAAAATAAGTTTACAAGTACAGGTAATAAAAGTGCATTTTCTGACATTTTTGAGAACTTAATGATATGGAAATCTTTGTTTTCTATTTAAAACCTTAATTATTATTGAAATATACTCTTTTATTGAAGAAAGAAAGAAGGACATCATCATGAAATACTGATGAAAAATAAAAAATGCAATAAAACCTAAAATATGAATCATCTGACTACAAAAGAGCTGTGAGATGGAAAATTAAGATCTATAATATTCACATTATTAGCTGTATATTATAATTAGGAATGCACTTAAAAAGCAGATGAAAATCTTACCTTTCAGTTAGCAACACTTATTAGGCTACATATGATATTAGAATTGTCAATAATTACATTTTCATAGAGTTTTTGTCACAGTAAATTTTATTGCAAAAATTAAGAACAATTTATTTTTCATATATGGCTACTTAGAAAAGCTATTAAAACAAGCTCATTATCTCAGAGCTGAAATAGTTCATTTAAAAAGAACTGTTGTACAAAGCATAATCATACTTGTATTTTATTGAAGTATTTCCCAGCTTCAAAAGGCAACACATTGTATGTAGCAACTCCAGTAATAGCCTTATCAGTTGGATTTATAGCAGTATAAAATGCCAGTGCTGTTTCTCCAGGCGATACCTAAAAATGTACATTAAATTGAAATATTTGATATTTTATATGAAGTAAAAGAGTGATTTTTAACATTGATAAGTTTAAGAGAAACTCATGTACACCTTTATTCATTCTGAATGGGTCCGAGTTAAAATACTTTAAACAATATTTTTATTTCAATCATTATTATACATTAATAATTATTGAAATTAGCACATGGTTTAAGAAAAATTGAGCTTTTACAAGCAAAAATATTATTATTATTACTTTTTTCTGATCATAACAATTAAGGTTACTAAATGAATTTAATGGTGATAAATCTGAAAGCAATATTTTTAACATAAAATGACAATCATTAATTTGTAAACAAAATTTAAGTATAATAATTAGATCCATTTTCAGTTCTTAATAATAGTACAGACTAGCTGTATGGATGCTTTCATATTTAATTCCATATAAGGTAATTATGCGTTTTCAGTCAGTTTACCTTAAGAAATGATAGACATAGATATTCTTTTTAAACAGATAGTTCTCAAAAATTCTATAAGCATACAATACTGCAGTCATTTGTATTTATATTCATATTTATCTATTTTTTAGGGTTTTCAGAACAGATTTCAATCTTGATAGTGATAATTAATATAATTCAATCTCCACTGTTAATTTCAAATGAAAAGCGTCACTGTAATTTTGAGAGAGAAATGAAAACCGTTTGTGCTCACAGAATAATTTACTTCTGCATGGCATCTTGATTGATTTTATTTACATCTTGATTGATGAACAAGTTAGAAATAGAAAATTTTTAGTAAATGAAGAATTTTAGGAAATTTATTTTTAGTAAATGAAGAATTTTAGGAAAGGCAGCAATCAACAGGCATTTTTTATACATTTTCAGATGATAAAAAAGCCAGTTTCCATAACCAGTTTCCATTTTACCTTTGATAAAATTGCAATGTATAGACTACATTTCAGTTTTATCAAAGGTGCAGAAAGCATTTATGATAATATAAATAAATATGGCTCTATAAAAGGTTTTGCCAATTCTGGGACAGAACTATTACTTTTGAATCTTCATAGTTTTCAATATGCAGAGCAAAACAGAGCAGAATCCATATGAAATTTGAGCAGGATCCATACAAATGATATGGACACAGTCTAAAAATAAAACTTTCTTTATAAATCACTTTAAAGAATAAAAGCTTACTTTTATGTATGGCTGCTGAGGTTTAAAATTCCACATCATAGTGGAGTTTGTATCAGCATTAAAATTTACAGTTATATTTCGTTTTCTGATTGGCTTCATTTCAGCTATTTTCTCTCCAGCTTCATCCAGCACTGCCTGACCTCCTTTGCCTGTAGTCTAGTACATAAGAATAAGTACCACATTCAAAAGTATTAAACTCATAATATGAAAAACCTATATCATAGATTATTAAATTAAAAAAATGCACTATTTAAGTTAAAATTTACACAGTTAATAAATACTTTACACTAAATTTGTAAATTAAAATGCAGCTACGGAATCTAGTTACAAGAACTACTCTTCAAATGGAACAATTGTTATTATGGAATAAATCTTGAAAACTCCATATAAAGAAATCAAGGTTTATTTTGCTTATTAAAGACAACATATCAATTAATCAGGGCAACTCTTCGCTGAAACAGCCTCATGCTGAATATTTAACATTTACAGCAATAAAAGAATACAATATGTAAATGTAGATAATGAATATTAATCTTAAGTTTACTATTGATTTGAAGAACGAAGACAAAATATCAGTCCTGGTCAGTTGAAAAAGTTTGATAATGGACGGTTTAGCAGCAGATTAATCTTAGATGCTTATACAGTTGTCTGAAACACTAAATGTAGATAGGTCAGTTATTTAAATGTTTAAAAGCAGTGAGGATGATTTAGAAATTGGGAACTGGGTACCATATGAATTGACAAAAAGAGACATTGTGAAATGCTTAACCATTTGTGAAGTGTTGCTTCAAAGACAAAAACAAAAGTCAATTTTGCATGAAACCATAGGCACGTTGTGGTGAACCATCAACATGAAAACTTAATATATATGGCAAGAAGATTATGTTGTGCATGATGTACTATGAGCTACTACAAGCAGGTCAAATGGTAAATGCTGAACCCTACAAAGCACAATTACTCAATTTGAATCATACACTTAAAGATAAATGCCCACAATATGCTCAGTGACATGACAAAGAGACAATGCTTCATAACAATGACAAACCACATGCTGATAACTGAGCGAAGGAAGCCTTGAAGGGACCTTCGATACTAGCACCTCAAAAAAGGGATGGCTGTGAGTGGCTCATTATCGAAGACAGATCAAGTGCATGCTCAAGGCAAAACATGCCAGTGATCATCTGGCTACTACATATGGTTGTTATATTCTACCTGGCGCTTTACTCATAACATTAATGCATGAACTATTGGTTTTGGGAGTTGTTAAATGAAATGTCAATCATTCTTTTCAAGTGACTAATGTAACTCTCTTATGAATGTACCCTCCTTCTCCTTTGTTTAGCATCAACGTTTAGCTATTGATGCTTGCAGTTGCAATCCGGTCCTTAGAGGAAACTGCACACAGTGGCTGAAACTTCACAAAAATCCCCAAGATAGAAGTAATCAGTTCACTTAAGTAGGTTACTGTTAACACTATAGCAATCTACTAAGCAGGAGAAAAAGAAACCCATTCCAACAAAAATTTGTATACATGGGCCTTTCAGATGTTTGAGGGAAACAGATATTGGCCTTTCTCAATGTGAAAGAGTTAAATGCTGAAAACAGAAGGCTGGTTTTTTTTTTTTTTTTTTTTTTTGTGTCTGTGTTCAGAGTAAACAATAAAAACTGAACAGTAAAATCTCAGATTTTTTCCATGAACAATCACGTTCAGTTTCTGGGCCATCTCAGTGTAGAAGGAGTCATTTTTTTAATGGTATGATAGCATCTGTGAAATAAGGTATCAGCATTTATGAGAATATAGTAATCTTAAATTCTGCTGCACTAAAATGAAAAAAATTACTGACAACAAACTCAATAGCTGCGAGAGAAAAGATTTCACTAGAATGGATAAAATTTTAAATAGAATTTCTAAAATTAATGTAACAAATTTAAAAGCTTAAAACTTGAAGTTTAACCTAAAAATAAAAGAAATTAAATCAAAATTGCAGTGTCATAAAAATCAGTCCTTTCAGGAAAATTCTTAAAAGATTCCACCTTAAAATTTATTAATTTGGAGTGTTACATTTTGTTTTGATGGTGAATAAAAGCAGTTTCTTCTAAGAGTATGAAAAGTGACTATATTGAATACAACTCATTGTGTAATTACATTTCTCAGAAATTGGATCATAAATTATCATTAGGGTATTGATTTCCTGAACATCTGGAGTCTGACCTCAGCAAATACACCAGTTGCATATTTGGTTTTCAAGGTTTTTCCCATGCATAATGTGAATAGGAGCTGGTGTTCCTCAGAAAATCCTCTATGAAGGCATCCCTTAGGCAGATAGATCTTGTGAGCTTTGCCATATGAAATTAATCCAAAGGTAATAATTTTATTGTGGTTTGACTTTTAGAAAGCTTTCAAATATTTTTTTGAAAAATCTACAAATTTCAGAATTTTTTCTTTAATGATTATAATATTTATTTAGTTTTCTTTACAATTAATTATTTTCCATTCACAGATAACTTTAATGCTCATGCAGATTATGAAAAATGTTTTTCTAAATTTAGAAACATACTATGGAATGAAATATACTACATTTGAAGATGTATATTACAAGGTGAGACCGAAAAGTAAAATGATTAATTCAAGTACCCTAGTAAAAATTACATTCTTTTGCATTATACGAGGGCTATCCAGAAAGTAGATTACGTTTTGGAATAAAAAAATAAACAAAGTATAGGAAACAAATTTTATTATATACAGATGAAAGCCACACTCAAATACTACTTTTCTACATAGTCACCATACAAATTAAGGCATTTATCGTAGCGATGTACGAGCTTGGAAATTCCTTCGTCGAAAAATTCGGCCGCCTGCGCCTTCAACCACTTCGTTACCTCTCTTGCCTTCCATCTTGCACAAAACTTGTGGTAACCAAGCTTTTCGCTGATGATTTCGTGCAACAAACTTCGCGAAATTTGTGGAAAACTCAAAGAAAGTTCCGTTATTGTGAAATTTCGATTTTCACGGACTTTAGCATCGACTTTTTCGAGAAGTTCGGCGGTCACTATGCTGGGTCTCCCACTTCGATCTTCGTCGTGAACATTGGTTCGGCCATTTTGAAATCTTATGACCCACTGACGCACTCCACCTTCAGTGATAATGTTGTCCCCATACACTTCACGAAGCTGCCGATAGATTTCTATCGGTTTACAGTTTTTTGCAGTCAGAAACCTTATTACTGAGCGCACCTCGCAGCTCGCGGGATTTTCAATTAACGCAGACATTTCAAACCGTCACAGTATCTGAACGGAGCACAGCACGAACCTCTCACTAGCACGGCTAGATGCAGACTGAGCTGCGCAACGCTCTGACCCCAAGATGGTCGCTAGCCCCGCCCCTAGCGGACACAGACGGAAACGTAATCTACTTCCTGGATGGCCCTCGTATATATATATGTAAAGGAAATGCTATATGTTAAAAAGAATAATTTTTTTACACACACATACATACAAAAATAAATAAAAATAAAAATAATATAATCTTACCTGGCAATATAAACGATAGAGAAGAACGGAAGCATATGTGCAACCACTAACTAATATTGTAAACGCAGTTAGATAATACAAAGTAGTCCTGTTTCTAGTATTGAGTTCTGTCGGTCTTGTGTAATACCTATGTTGAAAAAATACCACTTTTGTATTCCTTCCTACATTTTTATTCTCTTGCTTTAAATTTGAAAACTGTGAAGTAAATGAAAAATTTAATTTTGGCTTCAAATGCAGTATATTCTTATATGATGAAGGCACAACTCTCCTTAGTGTAAATAAGCACACTTCTGCACTTCTAAAAATTCTGTACATGATCATATCTGGAAAAAATAATAAATAAAATTAGATATCCAAGTAATTATAATTTAGACAAAGAATAAAGATGCCTTTATGAACTTTTATTTTATCTTTTTTTTTTTTTTTTTTGCAGATACACATAAACCTGTTCTCAAACAGTGAAATTTGTTTGGAGTAAAAAAATAAACAAATGGCTGTTTATGATGCCATACAGTGCCATTATCTAAGAATACTTGTTCATGTAGGTTTAGACATTTATTTTCTTAAGAATGTTTCAGAAATCAGTGTTGCTGGCCCCTCTAACATGTCAACCCCTTACAACTCTCATACAACCTACCACAAACAAATCATTTACCTGTTCGATGAGTCTTTAGAGGGCAAGTAACCATCTGATTCATCCTCATTCATGTAAAGATCTACTAACCTTATCCTCAACCCATATATGCCTCAAATCCAAGGTGTATGCTGTAAAGTAGTTGTTTGTTAGTTTATAATTTTTTATTTATAATGTATTTAAAATGCAAAATTTTAAATTTCATTATTCATTTGTTTTAGCATTTTTAATTGTTTCTTCGATAGTATTTATAGCTCTTATCTCATCACATTTTTAGGAGATATGCATAGTGACCCTAACAACATTTTATGAACAAATTTATAGTACAAGTTATCCTTCAGATTGTAACTCATATGTAAGGTGGGATGCATCTGTTTACATCTGCAAAAAAATAGCTACTTACAACAGAAATTAATGAAATAAAATGAAATCAGAAATGTGAGGCTGGAAATCATTCGAGTGGCCTTATGCTCTGCGGACAACGCACGTGGAACCAAGCGGGCACAAACTTTGGAATATCGCAACTCATCGGTTACGATACGCTGAACATTACCATAACTCAGGTCCAACTCTGAGGCAATCTCATGCACAGTTACTCGTCAATCCCTTTGGATGATTTCTTCAACACGTGCAGTGTTGATATCCATCCTTGAAGAACTTGGACGGCCACTCGCTTCCATATTGCGGTTTTCCACATGCTCCCTGCCCGCTTGATAAGAACGACACCATTTCGCTACCTGTTGTCTACTCATTGCTTTGTCCTCATATACCTCAACAATTTGTCTGTGAATTTCAGATGCGGCCACATTCTTGGCCCAAAAGAATCGAATTACGGCTCGCACCTTCATGCGAGACCACTTTTCTAGACGTTGTGCCATTACTGTCGCTCTTAAGTGTCTGCATACTGACGCTACTTACTCGTAGAACCGCTGTAGGACAACTAGCGCCATCTGTCAACCACCCTGGGTGGAAACATTCGCTCCACAATTATTATGTTTCAAATGCTTCTGCTTGCAAACTTTTTTTTGGATCAACCTTTGTAGTTTCATTTGCGCACCATATATTTTTGTAATAGTCTATTTATATATTAACATATTGTAGTATATTAAAGCAAATCAGAACAATAAAGAAATACTACTAGGCTGCTTGAATGAAGTTACTTGTACTGGAACATTGACTGAAATTTATTTTTACAATATCTTACACTTTTGTTTTTCTTCTTTAATTTCCAAATTTTGTTTTAAAACATTTCTTTTTAGATGCTGCAACTTTTAATGTAAAATATAAAAAAGCAATGACCTAACACCTAAAAATTAACAAATAATACAGGACTTTCAAAAATATGATGCATGTTATCCATGCTGTTAAGATAAACCAAGAACATCATATAAAAATTCATTAAAACTTGAAAATTTAAGGATAACGTAAACTTTCTGAAATTTTCTTGCCTTTAAACATTTAATCTAAGAAAAATTAATTTCTTCCTATTATTATTCTCTTTTGTTCAATAGATGGTATCACATGACACTTAGGTGTCACTTAGGACAAGAAATTAAACGTGTAAGTACAGTAATTTATTCCAGTGTCAGATCCTCATTTTTTATATATTATGGGGATATCCAGATTATAAAATGTTAGGAAATAGATATTAAAATAATTACAATCAAAAGTCGTTAATCCGGACTCGTCGGGACTTCGGCGATTCCGGATTATCGATTTTTCCGGATTATAGATCATCAGCTTAAATCGCGTAAGATGGCATGCAGAAATTCTAAAATTAAAAATATGAAACCGTAATTTATGAAATAAAGAACAATTATGATCTAAAGGGTATCAAAATTTACAAAAAAAAAAGCTTAATATTTATTTGTTTACTTTATTAAACATTTCTTTCGATGTAAGTTGTTTAAGTTACTTCATTTTATGTGATAATACTTTCTCTTTAATTCTATAAACAGACATAATTTTTTGTTCAGTTACAAAGTTCCGCTTTCAAGTGCCGTTAATATCTGCGCCGAGAATACCGACTAACTTGTCAATCGAAATTTTTTCGTTTTCACTAACCTCTCTGTCACATTCTTCATGTCTTTATCCATTTTTTGCAGCAATTCCACTTTTTGTTTGATGGACATCGAAACATACTTTCGTTTTGTATGATCCTTTGGGAGCTCCAGAATTCGGAAATTCTATTTGACATAATCGAAAGTTCAAGTTTACTTTTAAAAAATTGCTCTTACAGTCTGCAAAAAATAATAAGCCGGATCCAATTCGAAGATTAAGGAACAACGCAATCATCAACATTAACTGAAATAGATAATTAGATAATTTTAGATTATACCATCCGTTATACATAAAACACGCACGCATGCAAAACGTATTCTACGCTTGCGCACACGCAAATGCGCAGTCGTAAGAGGTCTTACGCGCACGCGTAAACGCCTATGCGCATGTGTCAACGCGGCGCATGCGCAGAAAGTTTTTAGCTTTGAGTCCGGATTATAGATCATTCGGGATTATGGGTGTCTGAAATAACGACTTTTGACTGTATTTCGAATTTAATGATTTTTACATATTGTATGAATTTGTAAGCTATTATATAATTATGACATGTTGTCCTCATTTTTATATTTTGGAATATGATAACCTTAGTCTAGTTTTTTTTGCCTAGATAAGATTGATGAAAAGGTGCTGAAAAGATTCTACATATAATCTTATCAAGAAAGGAAAAAATATGGCCTAAGTAAATGATTAATATCGCCTAAGTAATATTCCTTTTGAATATACAGAGTGATTTTAAATTGTTTTTACAAATTAATAGGGGTGATAGTACTCATCCAGATGAGCAATAATTACCATAAAACATAGAGTCGTATTCCATTCTGAGAGGCAGAAAAGAGGAATATTAGAATTCCAACCTGAACTTACAACAGTGTTGGGAGAGCGAATGAATGAGACTAAAAGTTGCACAATCAGTTAGTGGAAAACTCATTGCATTTGAAAGCTCATTTGGGGGTGGACACCGCGGCGCGCAATGAATTGGAAGTTGATCTGTCAGCACTATCCTTATCTTCAGGGCAGATGTTTTTATTTTGTTTGGCTTATAATTCCTTACTAAATGTAGTACTTCATCTCGATGTACTTTGTCTTTGATATGATTTAAATAAAATTCCTCGTCATTATAATTCGCTTCCGATAGTGAAGAAAGTGACACAGAGGTTATTGAAAACGAAAAAATTTCGATTGACAAATTAGTCGGTATTCTTGACACAGCAATTATGGGGCTTGAACAGCGGAACTTTGTAACTGAACAAGAAATTATGTCTATTTATAGCATTAGAGAAAGTATTATCACATAAAACGAGGCAACTTAAACAACTTACATTGAAAGAAAGGTTTAATAAAGTAAACAAATAAATATTAAGCTTTTTTTTTTGTAAATTTTGATACCCTTTAGATCATAATTGTTCTTTATTTCATAAATTATGGTTTCATATTTTTAATTTCATAATTTCTGCTTGCATCTTACCAGATTTAAAGTGATGATCTATAATCCGGAACCACCGAAGTCCCGACGAGTCCGGGTTAACGACTTTTGACTGTATAAGTATATTGAAAACAGATGTTAGTAGCATGAGTAAGTTGTTGCATTTTTTCATTCATTACAACATGCTACTTTTTATATATTTCATTGTTTTTCTTCTTTAATTTCCAAATTTTGTTTTAAAACATTTCTTTTTAGATGCTGCAACTTTTAATGTAAAATATAAAAAAGCAATGGCCTAACACCTAAAAATTAACAAATAATACCTCAGGACTTTCAAAAATATGATGCATGTTATCCATGCTGTTAAGATAATCCCAGAACATCATATAAAAATTCATTAAAACTTGAAAATTTAAGGATAACGTAAACTTTCTGAAATTTTCTTGCCTTTAAACATTTAATCTAAGAGAAATTAATTTCTTCCTATTATTATTCTCTTTTGTTCAATAGATGGTATCACATGACACTTAGGTATCACTTAGGACAAGAAATTAAACATGTGTAAGTACAATAATTTATTCCAGTGTCAGATCCTCATTTTTTTTTTAAATGCAATGAATTTATTTAAAATGAATGTGAAATAAAACACTGCATTTCTTCAATTACTAGCAGTCAAACTGGAATGCAAATCTTGTATTTCTTAACAAGCAATACTGTAAACTAACATTTTAGAGAAATTTCATGGACTCAGTAGTGTAAAAGAACAGAAAGGAGAATAACTACCAGTTTCAGATTTTCATACAATATTTCTTGAAACACATGAAGTATCAAAAAATTCAGAAGACTAGCTGTTGGGGCATTTTTGTGTTTTTTCAAGTGTAGTGTAAGGTTAGAGTAGATTGAAGAAGTGCTCCTTGTATTGTCACAAAGTTGTTGTTTCATTTATCGCTAAGTTTTTGTTTCATTTATGGTAACCTGAGTAGTTGAATACAGTCAAAAGTCTTTAATACGGACGTCCATAATCCGGACCTCAAAGCTACAAACTTTCTGCGCATGCGTAAACGCATAATACCTTTATGCATGTGCATATGCGTTTATGCATTTACGCATGCGCGTTTAATGTATAACGGACGGTATAAGCTAAGCTAAAATTATCTAATTTAGTTAATGTTGCAGATTGTGTTGTTCCTTAATCTTCTAATTGGATCCGGCTTCTTAATTTTGCAGACTGTTAGAGCAATTTTATAAAAGTAAGCTTGAACTTTCGATTATGTCAAATAGAATTTCCAATTCTGGAACTGCCAAAGGATCTACAAAGTGAAAGCATGTTTCGATGTCCATCAAACAAAAAGTGGAATTGCTGCAAAAAATGGATAAAGGCATATCCTTTGTTTCTCTAACCATTCCGAAATCTGTTTATCAATTTCACGCTGCTCTGCGGAAGGGGGGGACGTCGCGGGGCGCAATGAACTGGAAGTTGATCTGTCAGCACTATCCTTATCTTCAGGGCAGATGTTTTTATTTTATTCGGCTTATAATTCCTTACTAAATGTAGTATTTCATCTCGATGTACTCCATCTTTGATATGATTTAAATCAAATTCCTTGTCATTATAAATATCACGAATACACATCAAATAGTTTTCTGGTTGCAATTTTCTAATTTCGACTATGCGTAATGTATGCTTTATGCATGCGCGCGTTGAAAGAAATGTTTAATAAAGTAAACAAATAATTATTAAGCTTTTTTTTGTAAATTTTGATACCTTTAGATCATAATTGTTCTTTATTTCATAAATTACAGTTTCATATTTTTTAATTTTAGAATTTCTGCATGCCATCTTACCAGATTTAAACAGATGATCTATAATCCGGAAAAACCGATAATCCGGAATCGCCGAAGTCCCGATGAGTCCGGATTAAAGACTTTTGACTGTATAGCATTCAACTATTATTAAACCCTATTATGACGTAACTGGCTGCATGATTGTGGTAAATTTTGAATTATGGGAAAAGATTTGTAAGGGCTTGTGGAGTGTGTTGGTTAGGAAGTACATTGCTTGTTTTGTGGTTTAAACAGTAAAATGGCTGAATGTGGTAAGATTAATTTGAAGTTTCTGTACGGTTTGGAAAGAAAGGGGAAAACAGCATTAATTGACTTTGTGTAAATGAAGGTTTACTTAATAGCCATTATTAAGTGTTCTGTTTGTAGAATGGAAATGCGTATGGTTGAACACAAGACGATAATGGCGCTACGGAGGATATTTTTTACTCTTCTTTTGTGAATTTATGTGGCAATGCCAGTATACAGATTTTAGTTCAGATAATTTTAGGAAACTTTTGGATGCTGTTAAGGAATTTTGATTGACTGAAGACACGTTAATTCGTAAATAAGGTAAGTGGATATTTTCTTTGTGTAAAGATTAATTTCCTTTTTTATGCTATTTCATTGTTTAATTTAAAATATAGTTTATTGAGATTATATATTTTTTGTGGCTACATGGATAAAGTCAAAGGAGTGCGCAATGCCAAGCTTGTGCAATTCTCTGATTTTTTCTAAGTGAAACTAGGTCGATATGTACATGGATACCGAGTCTGTGCAATTCTTCGTCTTGTTATTTTGTCTTTGTGTAGCAGTGATTTTTGCACCAAAAATTGCCGCTACACGAGCCAAAATAACATGTCAAAGAATTGCACAAACTTGGTATCCATGTACTACCGAAAATTGCCAATTTTTGCCAAGAAACACCTGTAAATATACTTTTACCGTGTAAAAGTGAATCAATTTCCTGGGGGAAAAGGGTCTCCACAATTGTAGGGTCAAAAGGAGTAGTTTTTGATTATCCGCACCTAAAAGAAGTCTACAATTTAATGCCGACTTTAAGAATTGGCAGAAAACTTTTTTTGGCTATATTTATGTCTTACAAGCGCTAGTCTATTCATAAATAGCCTTGCTAGTGTCCATGTAATTACAACTGCTGAACACTCACTGGGTTCAAGCCCAGGTGAATGAGCAGGCTGCATGCTTAATTTTAAAGTACAAAGTCCGTAATCCGGACTCATAGGGACTTTGGCGATTCCGGATTATTAGATCATCAATTTAAATCTGGTAAGATGGCATGCAGAAATTATACAATTAAAAATATGAAACCATAATTTATGAAATAAAGAGCAATTATGATCTAAAGGGTATCAAAATTTACAGAAAAAAGCTTAATATTTATTTGTTTACTTTATTAAACATTTCTTTCAATGTAAGTTGGTTAAGTTGCTTTGTTTTTTTGTGCTAATACTTTCCTTTAATTCTATACACAGATATAATTTCTTGTTCAGTTACAAAGTTCCATTGTTCAAGTCCTGTAATTGCTGTGTCAAGAATACCGACTAACTTGTCAATCAAAATGTTTTCATTTTCAATTTAACCTCTCTGTCACTTTCTTCACTATCGGAAGCGGTATTTTCTGTGTCTAGAACCATACTACAGATTTTGTTGTTCATTAATTGATTGATGATTCGGGCATTGTCGTCGAAATGAAAAAAGTTCTGTTTTCATCTGTTTCATCTTCATTTATTACCACTTCTCCACATTTCTTTACAAAATCCAATAACTGGAAAATTTCACCTTTAGTTTGGGATGTCCAAAAACCTTCAAATTCACGGCTATCATCTTCATCATCCTCATCCTGAAATATGGTAGCTGGCCATAAATTATGTCAAGCATCTTTAAACGTATCTGGAGACACATCCTCCCACGATCTTGCAATGCTCCACACAGCAGATTTTATGCTAAAAAATTTCAAAAAGTCTTGCCATTATTCAAGAAATTAAACATAGATTTAAAAAACGCTACTTTATATTTGCATTTCAGCACGTGCACTATTCCCATATCCATAGGCTGAATGATAGACGTACAATTTAGAGGGAAGAATAATATGGATACATTATCTTTCACTAAAACTTTAAGTATGCGCCAAATAGTTGTCAACAATCAGGACTATTTTTGAGTCATCAGGTAAACCAACCGAATTCAAATGTCGTCGAGCCTCAGGTATAAAATGATTTTCAAACCAATCATTCATCAAAGCTTGTGTCATCCATGCTTTTTTATTTGTGCAATATATAACGGGGGAAAATCTTTAATCCTTTAAATGCTCGAGGCCGTGCATGTTTTCTAATTACGAAAAGTTTGCACTTGTGCGTTCCTGTAGTATTTGCGCACGCTAAAAATTGCTAGTCTCGCTTTGGAATCTTTGACACTAGTTGGAGCCTTTTCTGTAGAGGTTGCCAAGGTATTTCGTGGTACATATTGCCAGAAAAGACAAGTTTCATCAGCATTGTAAATTTGTTCTGGAGGTAATTGTTCACTAGTAATGAGTTCAATGAATTCATCTGCAAATTGTTCAGCAGCTTCAGTATCAACTGAAGCTTTTCCACCTGAAATTTTTAATTGTCTTATACCATGGCAATTTTTAAATTTGGTTAAGCAACCTGTTGAATATGTGCACTAAGTGTTTAAGTTCATTTCTTCATGAAATATTTTAGCTTGAGCCATTAGCATTGGACCCGTCAATGGCACGTCCTTGCTGTGATGCTGTCTGACCCATTTAATCATCACTTTGTCATGATCATCACTTTTAGCATAACAAACCCTTTTTCTATTATTCATTGCAAGTGGGGTGTCGGAAACCACAAAAATATGTCATATACAGTTGACTTTCTAATGTCATACTCCTCACATAATTTTGAGATGGATATGCCATTTCATTATCATGCCTTTTTTTATCCATTTTTTGCAGCAATTCCACTTTTTGTTTGATGGACATCGAAACATGTTTTTGCTTTGTAGATCCTTTGGCAGCACCAGAATTGGAAACTCTTTTTGACATAATCAAAAGTTCAAGATTAATTTTTATAAAATTGCTCTAACAGTCTGCAAAAAATAATAAGTGGGATCAAATTTGAAGATTAAGTAACAGCGCAATCTGCAACATTAACTTAAATGTCTTAGAATCAGTAAAGATAATTTTAGCCTAGCTTATACCATCCGTTATACATTAAATGCGCATGCATAAATGCACTACGCGTATGCGTAAAGCATACAAAAAGAAAAATTTGTGGCTTTGAGGTCCGGATTAAAGATTATTCCGGATAATGGACATCTGGATTATGGATTTTGTACTGTAGTGAACTGTAAATACAAGCCAGTTTCCCTTAGAAAGGCAGGTCGACCAGGAGCCCAAGCAATAAAGATGCTGAACATTGGTAGTTGGACCAGGGTTCATATACCAGTGAATAGGCTAGCTGCATAATTGGTTATCCCTCTGCGTAATGTAGATATAAGCCAGTTTCCCTTAAAACATCCTCTACAAAGACATGCTTCCTTATAGACAAATAGTTCTCAAGTTGCTTTGCCTTAAAAAATTAACCTAACTCTTAGAAAGTCCTCGTGACTTAGCAACATTAAAAAAGAAAATAACCTAACCCAATCTAACCTAATTTGGCGATAAATAAAAGAAACATTAGCCGGTAGATACTGTTTATTTAAATATATATTTGCGTTAAATTCAGGTGTATTCAAACAGGCGTGTGATATGCACATTCTGAAGTTGGCTGTTGTATTAGGTAAATCCAAAAATACACTAAAAACAAACACAGCATTTCCACAGATTATAGATATCATGTTGCAGATAACCATAAAGTAAGTTAAGAAATTTTGGTTTAATCCTAGTACCGGTGCATACGGGATTTGGCTACTTTTGGCTACTTTTATGATGAGCAGTAAAAACAGGACGTATACGATGAAGTAGTAAACGGGTATTCAAAGAATATATATAGTTATACATAGACGTTTTTTGGGTCATTTTTGGTGTTGGCGATAATTTTCAAAATCGCGCCAAGGCTGCACCGTATACTAGGATTTTACCGAAATTTTTAACATAAGCTGAACGACAGATAAACACTGAATACTCTACATTTTCAAAAATTAGCTAAAAAAGCTTTTACTATATGAGCAAGTTTAAAAAAAGAACACAGTATTATAGAGTTTATACGCACTGTTTGGTAGTTCTTTCCGCTGAATTCAGATATAATTACATGGGTTAAAAAATTTGAACTAGTTCAAAAAAATTTAAGTAAACAGGAGTTGTGCATTACGCTTTTCAGTATCAAGGAAGTTTACATAAGATGAAAACAAATTGGTGCACCTTAACAGTACATCTTTTTTCACGAAAGCAAGATAAAAACGGTCGGGAGAATGAATAGAATACACTAAAGTAAAGTAAAGATGCTTTTCCCTTTCGGCTGAAAGTTTTAACGATAATGATAGTTCGTATTGTATTTCTCGTCTGCTTATAATTTTGATCGGTCGTGAAATTTCACGATTGATCTATTGAACGCAATCTTGTTTACTGTCTGTGAGTCTCTTATAGTTTTATAAATCCATTATTTGATCCATATAAAAACTGAACAACGTTATAGAATAAAAAAAAAAAAAAAAAAAAAATTAATGACAAATTATTTTTGTAGTAGCTTAAAACATAAGGGTAGAAAATAGTTAAAGAAAATAAAAATTGCAGAAATAGTTTCGGTCATAAATGATATAACAGATAACAATTTGCGATTGGATTATATTTAATTGTTTAATAAATTCATTATAGTTTATAGTAATTATTGAGGATTTCATAATGGAAGTACAAAAAGTTCCTGTTTTCTTGGAGGAGTCCACTGTAGGTGAATTTATATCACAGGTAATTATTTATTATCGAACCTTATAAAATAGTCTGTTTTAAATTTTAATTTCAATAAACGAAAGGATGTAACAGGAACAAGAACGAGAGTGATCAAATTTAACCCATGTAAAAACTGTTATTTAACTTATTGTAAGAAGAAAAATAAATTAAAAAATAATATAAAAATATGCAAGCAAGTATTACTGTTAAAATATCTAAACGTTTAGTTTACTTATACTTAAAAGTTTGGCAAAAGCTTGAGATCTTTGCTTCAGGTGAAATATAGCATTAAATAAGGGATACATTATATTGTCAGTAGATAATAAACATTGAAAAAAAAAAAAAGCTTTTGAATGATTGTTAACTCTCTTCTAGTTGAAGAAAAAAATGTATTAATATGCATAATTTTAGTTATGACACTTTTTTCCCCCTTTTCTTTTCTTTTTTTTTTTTCTTTTTTTTTTTTTTTTTTCTAACATAGTTATATTTCTAAGCATGAAGAATCAATAGAAAGGTGCCAGACTTAGATAATTATTTACAGAAAGCATATATTTTTGAAAAGTGTACTTTTTATGTATTTTGAAATGCCGTATGAATCATTCTTAATTACATTGAGATATAGCTATATGTGGTATAAATGCTTTATAATGTGTACATCTTGTAATAGATGAAATACAATATTACACTTCAAGAGTTTTACTAAACTACATAGATTACATTATATTTTTCTGAAATAAAGATCATTTCCAGCCCATTAATTTAAGCTTTTATATATAGTATGCCAATTTATTATACATTAATTTATTATGCTACTGTTATATCTATTTTTAAAAGTCTGTATTTATTTTGTAAGCGCCAATGTGCAGTGTTACTGGATTTCAAAACTTTTTCCCACAAAAAATTTTGAGTAAATTATATTGCATATCATTTGAATAGTGTTGTGAATAATGCCTCACAATACAAGTTGTCTTCTTGCTGTATGCATTAACTGATTTATAAATATACTGAATATCAGAATCTCAGCTTTCATTCACTTGTATCTTTTTGCTATTTAATTTTTTATAAATGTGCCAATGATGAGCTGATATATATATATATATATATATTTGTATTGATGTTTTAAATGCTGTATTGTAATTGGTTGATGTTTTGTTTGTTCTTTGGCAGTGATTTCATTAAATTCAATTTATATTTTCTATCAATTTATGACCTTTTTAGCGGAAACCTTTTGTTTTACGGGGAATAAATATTGGAAGTTGTATTGAAAAATGGACTCCTGAATATTTGGCAAGTGTTGTGGGACAGGAGGAGGTTACAATTCATGTGTCAGAATTTCCAGCATTAAACTTTTTAAGGAAAAACTTTGCATACAAGTATGTTTATCTGCCTTAGTTAAACTATTTAAAAAGTTGGTATATTAATATCTGCATTACAAAATGTTGTAATATATTTCTGAATATTATTTATTATGTTCTTGAAAGAAAAAAAATTCTATAAAAATCCTACTTTTTTATATTGTATTATTATTTATTAATTCTATTGTGTATAAAGAGTACAGTTAAGTACAGTCAAAAGTCGTTAATTCAGACACCCATAATCCGGAATGATCTATAATCCGGACCTCAAAGCTACAAACTTTCTGCGCGTTAACGCATGCGCATAGGCATTTACGTGTGCGCGTAAGACCTTTACGGCTGCGATAAAATTATCTAAATCAGTTAATGTTGCAGATTGCGTTGTTCCTTAATCTTTGAATTGGATCCGGCTTATTATTTTTTGCAAACTGTTAGAGCAATTTTATAAAAATAAGCTTGAACTTTCGATTATATCAAATGGAATTTTCGGCTGATCTTTGGAATATGGTAACAGGTAGTTTGGCGACATTTTGGAGGCGATAAAGGTTCCTACCTAGGACTTTGGGAATAATGTGAGAAATACTCCGTTCCGATTACGCATTATTTTGTGTGAGGAAAATGAGAGATCATGAGATATGTCATGTGACATTAATGGACGAATCACTGTTCTTTAATCGGAAAAGGGGGTAAATTTGTAAAAATATCTGCTGTACAGCATTAGTTTCATTCTATGTTCTGTGAAACAGTGTTGTTTAATATTTGGATCCCATGGCCGTATATAAAGTAAATCCGAAATTTTTATTGCGTTTATGTGTAACTGAAAAGAATTGCTTAATTGCGGATAAGTATGAATGTCGAACATGTGGGTATGAAATGAGATTGTGGGAAAGGAAGGATATTACAGATAAGTTTGAATGGCGGTGCAAGAAATCTGGTGAAAATGGACATTTTGTGATCTGCCATGCACTCAAGATTCTGTAGAAGATTAGGTAAGTTAGTATTTTTAATTATTTGAGGATATTATTTTTATGCATTGTTCTAAATGTAAGGAGTAAATAAATTAATATGGTATTATTGGAAAATTGTTATTAGCAATGATTTAGTTTAAAGTAATTAGGATTGTAAGCTAATTTTTATTAATTTAATGTATGTGCTTATTTATATTTTAAGTAGTATTTTTTAATTTAATTATATTTTAATTTAATGATCGTGATTTTGAGAGTTATATGTTTGTAGTATTTTGGAATATGTTTGAGTTGAAGTAAATGTGCATGGAAAGAATTTAAGTACTTGGAACCATTTTTAATGTTTGCGTTAGAAATTGGCAGGTGAGGTTTATAATAGATAATTTAGAGGTAAAAGTTTTTGGATATTTTATTTATTTTATACGTGCAAATGTTCATCCTTGGAAAGGGTATATACTTTTTCGCGATCAGGTAATTTCATATATGTCCTTTTTACTGAATTTAAAGATTCACAAAATTTTCATGCATTTTCGTGAAATTTTTCTAATTTATGAGAAAAAAGCAGTGTACATGGATATAGTGAAGAGTGTGCGCAAAGCCATTTTTGTGCGTTTTTTTAAGTAAAAATAAGTCGACGTGTACATGGTTTAATTATATTTTAATTAAATGATAGTTATTTTGTGAATTACATGTTTGTAGCAATTTGGTATACGTTTGAGTGGAAGTAAACGTGCATGGAAATTATTTAAATATTTGAGACTAAGTATTTGAAACCATTTTTAATGTTTTGTTATAGATTCGTTGGTGACGTTTATAATAGATAATTTAGAGGTAAAAGTTTTTGGATATTTTATTTATTTTATATGTGCAAATGTTCATCTTTGGAAAGGGTATATACTTTTTCGCGATCAGGTAATTTCATATATGTCCTTTTTACCAAATTTAAAGATTGACGAAATTTTCATGCATTTTCGTGAAATTGTTCTAATTTATGAGAAAAAAGCAGTGTACATGGATATAGTGAAGAGTGTCTGCAATGCTATTTTTGTGCAATTCTGGGATGTTTTTTTTAAGTAAAAATAAGTCGACGTGTACATGGTTACTGTGTATGTGCGATTTTGAAAAACGCAACAAGAAGTTTGCAATTCTGCACTTTTTCCCAATTTTACTGTTAATATTTGTCATGATTAAGCAGTTTTGTTCCATAAAATTTCTAGCATAAGTGTAATTCGGCTGGCAGATTGTTGGAAAAAGTGTTGAGTAAATAAAAAGAAAAGAAATATGTCTTTACTTCGTGAAGACAAAATGGCGGCGAAAAAAATAGAAGGTTGCTATAGCAGAGTTGGTCGCCAAATTTTCGCCAAAAAATCGCCAAGTTACCATAATCCAAACATCAACCGAATTTTCAATATATATTTGCTAATATGTAAAGGATCTAAAGCGAAAATATGTTTCGAAATCCGAAATCTGTTTATCAATTTCACGCTGCTCAGCGGGGGGAGGGAAACGACACGGTGCACAATGAATTGGAAGTTGATCTGTCAGCACTATCCTTATCTTCAGGGCAGATGTTTTTATTTTATTTGGCTTATAATTCCTTACTAAATGTAGTATTTCATCTCGATGTACTCCGTCTTTGATATGATTTAAAACAAGTTCCTCATCATTATAATTCGCTTCCGATAGTGAAGAAAGTGCCGGAGGTTATTGAAAACGAAAAAATTTCGATTGACAAATTAGTCGGTATTCTCGACACATCAATTATAGGTCTTGAACAGCGGAACTTTGTAACTAAACAAGAAATTATGTCTGTTTAATAGAATTAAAGAGAAAGTATTATCACATGAAACGAAGCAACTTAAACAACTTACATTGAAAGAAATGTTTAATAAAGTAAACAAATAAATATTAAGCTTTTTCTTTTTGTAAATTTTGATACCCTTTAGATCATAATTGTTCTATAGCCTTGCTTTGACTCCAATTTAGTTTTGATTTTAGATTTTTAGATTCTTTAAGCCCTTTTCTCTCTATATATTTATGTATTTAGAAAATTTATTTATATATATATATATATATATTGAATATATTAGGAAAGAAATCCTGATTATCCTATCTGAGGAAAGAGGTGTAGGATAAGAATTAAAGGTAAACAATTTAAAGTTGACTAAAATATCAAGTTAATCTCTATGCAAAGAAAGTTGGAACTTGTTAGAACAATAGTGTAGTCATTAAAATAAAAAAAATTATTTCCAATGGCAGATTATGAACAGTTACAGTAAAAAACAAGAAGAAAGAACATAGAATACAGCAACACAATGTAAAAAAAAAAAAAAAAAGCTGTAACAGGCTCCCTTAATCTAATATACGAGGGTTGGAACTGTAATAGTGACAACACAGCTGAAAAAACGCTATGCAACAAAACCAAAGAATATCGCGTATACCACACGTAAACTACATACCTACTACCTTACCTCTCAGCAAAAAGACTCGTCCTGCCTATGTCACGTGCATGCGGAGTGACGCGAAGAACAGATCCTTGTATTAGCTCGCTGTCTAAAGCAAGTGTTGTCAGGATATTTTCAAAACAAGAACAACGATGTTGGATAAAAATTGAATGTGCCAGAGGTCGTATAGCACGACAGTGTCATCAAGGGCTTCAAGAGGCTTTCGCGGAATCTGCATTGCCTTACAGAACGGTAGCGAGATGGGTGAAAGCATTCAATGAAGGACGCCAAAACGTGGCAGACATGCTGTGGCCAGGTCGTCCGAGTGTCAGCGATGGAGACGTGCAAGCTGTTGCCGCACTAATGGACGGTGATCGCCGCCAAACGATTCGTCAGCTGGCCGGACAAACAGGATTAGCATAGGACTGTGCTGCACATTCTGAAGGAATGCTTGTCCATGAGAAAAATTGCTTCACGATGGGTTCCACATCAATTGACGGAAATGCAGAAATGGCTACGATATGATGCTGCTCGAACCCACCTGGAGCGCTATGAGCGCAAAGGAGATGCTTTTTTACGCCATATCATTATGCTGGATGAGACTTGGGCTTGATCGTACCAGCCAGAACTGAAATGCCAATAAAACAAATGGCATCATCACGGGTCACCACGACGTTCAAAATTTCGTCAGAACCCCAGCAATGTGAAAGTTATGGTGATTCTCGTGTACGACTGTGATGGTGTCATCCTAACGCATACCGTTCCCCCACAGCAGACCGTCACTGTGCGGTATTACTGCTCATTTTTGAAGCACAATCTCGGACCAGCTTTGAGAAAAAAACGGCGACACTTTCTGCAGAACGCTCCTCTCATTTTGCATGACAATGCTCGGCCGCATGCAGCACAAGCTGTGACTGATTTGTTCAAGCGATGGGGCTGGGAAGTGCTTTACCATCCACCATACTCCCCAGATCTAAGCCCTTGTGACTTAATTCCTAAGATGAAGGAACCACTTCATGGCACTCGTTTCCAAACTGTTCCTGAGAATCTTGCGACAATAGACCGGACCATTCAAACTATCAACAAAACAGGGGCTGCTACAGTTAGCTGCGACTTCCACATCGTTGGAAACGGGTTGTACACAATGATGGCGACTGTATTGAAGGACTGTAAAACATGGTGACATGAATAACTTTTGTATTCCTTGTAAATAAATAGTTGCCACTATTAAAGTTCCAACCCTCGTATCTTTTGCCTCCCAGTAATGCTCGCGAGAAAAATCTTGCGCAGAGCAGGACAGTGGGGTAGACATGTGGCATCCATCACCTCTCCAGAGTGCATATCAGAGAAGGAGGAATTTTGAATCTATGAAGATGATACTGTAGGCAGTCATGTCTGGTGGCAAGGCGGAATTTAGCAACCACTTTACGCCTTGGGCTATTACACCAATTCGGGATAGCATTCTTTCAAAACTTATGAGAAACACGATGATAGAGATCTTCCTGAGCAAGTAATGAAAGATCTTTTAATAAGATTCCTTACAGTATGGAAAGGCAAAGGATGAGAAATATTCTGCATGATTAAACCACCCTTTTTATCCAGGAAGTCG